TCATAGGTGATGGATGTCCCAATCTATTATGCCAGATAGACTGAGGAACAGGTGGAGATGCAGATGTGAAATAAGCCTGTGATGGAGAAGCAGTAGTAGCAGCATGAGAAGTATGAGGATGAAAATGATATAGACCATTGACATTAGAACCCTGATGAAGGATTTTCTTCGAAAACTTGTCCTGAATGACAAAAGAAGAATAAAAAGTGATTAGACAATTATTATCTTTGGAAAGCTTTTGAACAGACACAAGATTAGAGGTAATAGCAGGAGTATGAAGAATTTTATTTAGGCGAAAAGAAAATGAGGAGTTGGAAGTAATCCTTTGCCAGTGTGCTGAATTGGATCAGGTCCTTGATAAGACTGATAGCAATTCAAATTACTCAAATCATGAGTAATATGATCAGTAGCTGCAGAATCCAAGTACCAAGGTTGTTGTGGAGAAGCAGAAGAAGAAGATGGATTGGAGGAGGCAACAAAGGCCTTGGATTACTGCTGTGAAGAAGAAGAATTGAATGGCTGAAATTGAGAATCCATCCTGTACCAACACTCAAGAGCTGAGTGACTCAGACCTCCACAGATCTGACAAGCCTGAGAAGAAGATCGTTCTCTACCTTTATTCGAGTAACGACCATTACCTCTGTAAAAACCACCTCTACTTGAAGAATCGGAACCTTGACCTCGTTGTCCTCTCTGCCTTTGAAGAATCTACCTCTGGAATGGCCATATGATTGACCTCTTGAATTGTAGTTAGAAGAACCTCCAACAGAGGAGAAAGCCACAGTTGGTTCAGTCATTGACGGTTTGTGCAGTTCGGATTCAATATGAATCTATTCGGAACAAAGCAGAGATGACAATTCATCCATGGTGATGGACGCTGATCTTGCTCTAATGGTAGTTTTGAATGCATAACACTCATCAGGAAGTCCATTCAAAGTAATTAGAACAAGGTCCTCATCTTCAATGGAAGCAGGGGCTAGGGCAAGTTGATTAGCCAATTCTTTAATTTTTGACAGATAATCATCAATGGAGTCACTTTTCTTTGTGATGCTATTCAGTTTATTCTTTAACTGATGAACATGCGATCGAAAAAGAGTGGTAAATCTCTTATTCAAAGCAAAGCAAAGCAAACCTCACCTCAGAACAACGATGAAGATGAAGAATCGATGAGTAAATCGAAGAAGACAAAGTCGCAGTGATACAACTGAGCAAATGTGCATCAATCAACTCCCATTGTACAAACTCAGGATTATGTTCCTGATGAATTCTTTATCTTCGCTGCAGGACATGGTATTGTACCATCAACATATCCAAGAAGATTAGTTGCTCGAAGAATATTTCTGAGTTTTGACTCTTCCAGATCACGAAATTTGAAGCATTGAGTTCACAGTGATGAATGAGGACAAATTTGAAATTAGTAATGTGAGAGTTGAAGAAAGAATAGAAGAAATCATGGAAGAAGAAGCCATGGTTGGATCGTCTCGTGAGAGCTTGTAGCTCTGATACCATAAAGAAAATCTAAGAACTGTTTCATTTCAATGCTTGATTACAATGTATCACTACTACACATATATATAGTTGTTACAGATCAGCTATACCTACACCTCACACGCAGACTAACACATGTTCTAACAACTATTCCTCACTGATTTGTAATAGCCTTGATACACTGGACACATTAGTTGAAGCAACTGATGTTGAAGCTACGGCTGATGCTGTGGCTGGAGCTGCGGCCTGGGCGGCACTAGTATACTCAGCAGTATTTACTTTTCACATGGTTTTGTACCTTCTCTTTGGGATTCTGGATTATTTGAGTAATGCTACAGATTCACATTTGAGACCCCCAAATACATCCCCACTGATGTGGCAAGGAAGTAGAGCCCCACATAATTAAGTATGTGACAAATTAAAAGTTAACACCTAGCATTCCACATCATTGTGGGGATTTTATTAGGTGTCTCAAAGATTTTCCGAATTATTTTGCCATCTTTATTGTTTGATATCAGGATATCTTGGAACCCTGATTAGAGTTGAGGAATTGTCAGTATCAATGCAGAACAAATCAAACAGGAAATTTGCTAGAAGAAAGGTGATGCATGATTATATGATAGGGCATATGATTTGTCTGGCTTAAGTATTTGTAATATGTCATGACCATCACAATTGGTTCAGGAAATATGTACAATATCTGGTATATTTAGGTATAATTGAAATTTAATGGGTAGTCTTGATTTTCATTTTTTTGTTCAAAAAGTTGGCAAATTGAGGAATTATTTGGACTAAGCCAGTATTAGTTTTACAGAAAATTTGGGAGGAAGGAAGATGATGCATATGTATAAAATAGGAAATATTTTCGGTCATTGCATAATTATTTGGAATACTTCTTGGTCACTAGAACTAAGTCAGGAACACCAATTATACTGTCACAATGAGTAGAGGAATATTCTATTCAGTTTGGTCAGGGTTTAAGGAAAATTTCACACTGAACCAAACCTTTTGGTTTTGTGCTCATTCATATGCACCAAAACCGTCCGACTAGTAAGCATGGACATGGGTCACAACAATAAAAAATATTTTATATATTTGTATTTGCTATGCAAATTAATATTACATCCTCAAACAATTGAAGTTAATGAAAACTAACACAAAGGCTCAGTTTGTTTCAACGTAAAATATTTTATGTAAATTAATTTTGCCAAAAAAATTTTCTTTTTATTTTTTGGTGTTGGTTGATACTTGAAACAAAATTTTTCTATTATATAGATAGAAGCCAACGAAGAGCCACTCTTTTGCCTTTGAAAAGATTAATGTGCTGAAAGGGTCAAACTAGAAGTACACTTTCTAGAAGTACACTTTCTAAAAAATTGACTTACGGAATTTTTTTGGGTAAGTCATTTTGGGGACTATGACCAAAAAAAAAAAATTGGGGATTATGAAAAAAAAAAAAAAAAAAAAAAAAGTTATTTTTTGTTCAATCAAACAATAAAAAACGCATAAAATATTTTTTTAAAAAATATTTTACGTCAAAACAAATGTAGCCTTAAAAAGGAAACCCCATTTTAAAGTGTGTAGTAGGTGAGGAGTAGGTGAAGTGGAGGTGGTAGTGGTGTAGTGGGTTTAGTGGAGTAGGTGAGGTGGTAGTGGTGTAGTGGGTTAGTGGGTTAGGTTTAGTGGAGTAGGTGAGGTGGTAGTGGTGTAGTGGGTTAGGTTTAGTGGAGTAGGTTTAAGTCGGTGAAGTAGGTGGAGAGTAGGTGGATTTTCAACACCTATTTTGGAGTGTCGGTGCTTCATAGCTGATCGAAATTACTAAATCACTTAACCAAACTGATGTGTAGTGGGACGGTTCAGTTTAATCATTTTAATAAAAGCCCACTACACAATTACAAGGATTTAACAATATACAAATTTGCATACGATACAAACATATTTATGTTTATATATATCATATATATATGTGAGGGAGGGAGGGAAGGAGAGAGAGTGAGTTGATTTTTAGAAATCATATGCATGATAAGTGTTATTAAAGGTGATAGGCACACCAAAGCGTCAAGGTCTCCTGGGGCCTAGGCACAAGGCTCAAGGCGACGCACAGGCTTCCCCGAAGTGAGGCGCACTTTGTATGGGGAAAAAAAACAAATTTAATACAAGTAAATAATTTAGGGTTCTACATAAACAAAATGAATGTTTAAACATTTAGTGTTTTTTTGGAGATTAGGAATTAGGACTAATATTTCTTCTATCATTGATTTGGGGTTGAATGCCCAATGTATTGGCATCTGTAATAAGAGTAGAGATCTTCTGTAGCTGCACCATATTAAATCAATGGTCAGATTTTAAATAAAATCAATTAAAGCAACAATAAAAAAAGCCCTCAATACACAAGCCTTGGGCCAATCAGGCGCTTTATCATAGTCGTCTGGCCTGGAACATTATAAGGCACAAACCTTGGTCCTGGACGGCACTTGGGCCTAGGCGCACCTTATCGAAGTCGTTTAGCCTGGAACACTACAAGGCGCAAACCTTGGACTTGGATGGGACTTGGGCCTAGGTGCGCCTTTAATAACACTGTGCATGATCATTAACTGGATAAGAGAACCACGATAAGATGAAGAGGAAGAGCAACAAAATCAAATGAATACCCATGGATCAAATGAATACCCATGGATCCACTTCTCTGCTGATCAGAACCACGACACCCCCCTTCGTAATAGATTAGTGAGATCCTCTATCTTCTTCCTTGTTTGACAGATCCTGATAACCACTACCAAGGGGTAATACCATATGAAATCCCTAAAAAAACCCTTAATACAACCAAATCTTAAAAGCCCAAATACAATAGAAAACACAAAACAATTCTAGAATTCCATATCACAGAGGTCAAATGCTTACATCGAATGGGTTGGACAGAACTGAAATGAAAGATTGTTATTAAAGTTGAGGGAGAGAGTTAACAGGACTTGAGAGGAGGAAACCTAGCTGCTATAGTTAAAATCCCATCCATGTTACAAAGTAGATTGAAGAAAGAATTGACCAAAAAAAAAAAAAAAAAAAAAAAAAAAAAAAAGAAAAGAAAAGAAAGAAAGAATGACACAGCAGAAGTTGTGACTGAGGCTGTGGATTTGTTTATGCATGTGTTGTAGAGAGAGGGGACTTTGAGGAGTCACTGAAGGGGGGCTGTGATGTGACTAAAGAAGAGGGGTGTCAGGTGTGTTTTAGTTTAGAGAGATAGAGGACGGGTTGTAATGAATTATGCAAAGAATTAATTCGATTCAATCATGGTGGCAAAATAATTCTATACACATTATTATGTGTTGTGATTTATGTCATAATGGTTATCACTTTTTCATATATGAGGGAGAAATAATACAACAATAAATGTATACATGCATGAGGATTGTCTTTTTGGGGAGATAACAAAGTATCTATAGGCTATAGGTGGCTATTATTCATTTGTAAACAAACTTTGAGGATTGTCTTATTCTATAAAAATTTTACTGCAGGTGGCTGTATTTCTCATTCAGAGGAATCGTCATGCTTTGATTGGTAGAGCAATTGATGATCATGATATGGAAAGGGTTCTTCATTTTCTGAGAAATGACCCGGTAAAATCTACGATATTGCTTCTTCAATGACAGTGAAATCCAAGTTTAATAAATGAAGTTTTCTGTTGCAGGTTGTAGATGCTGACAATGAAATCCAAGTTTAATAAATGAAGTTTTCTGTTGCAGGTTGTAGATGCTGTATATGACTGTAAAAGTGAGGTGATTGGGCCTGGATTTTTTAGATTTAAGGCTGAAATAGGTGAGCCTTCATGTCATTTCCTATTATTTATGCATTTTCAATGAATTCTGGTTTCAAAAATGTCATCAAATGTATGTGTACTAAATTAAATAGATTTTTCTGTGACATTTTAAAATGTGAAATGCCTATGCCTACCAACATTGTCAGCAGTACTGTAAACATTTTGACAATAGATTTCATATGTTTACTGCTATGTCTGCTGTAAACAATATAATTTCTTTATGCATTCTGATATACTATGATATAATCTTATATCCGTCGTCCCATTGACTTTTCTTGTGATTTCTTGATGACTTGCATGTCATGTTTTACACATAACTTGATGTATCTTAAAAAAATGGGTGTGTTATATTTCTTAATTTGTGCTAGAGAGATGCATGTGACTCTACCCTCCCATAAATTCAAGACTTGTATGGCCAATGGTATCCTGATGATGATGACACTGTAATTTTATAGCAATACCAAAAAAGTTCAGTCTAATCTTCTAGTTACATTTTGGGGCCTGTGTAATTTGATACATTAATTTATTATAAAAAACGGGTAAAATTGTAATCTGTTGAAGCTTTGTGAGGCAGATTTCAATGGTGTCATACTGGTGCAGAATTATCTGAAAAGGACAGGACGTGAAGAGTGGGCCAAACAGGTTACTATGTTTTCCTTTAATCATTTATTTTTCTTTTTTCATTTTGGTTTTTTATTTCGATTCAAGCATGTAGTTACATTTTGTAATGTTATGAGTATACTAGGAACTTCAGTAGCCTTCACTACAAAATGTAATGCCTTGACAAGCTACTCTAGGCCATCCTGTTGTATCCAAGGGTGTTTTATTTTTTTTTTTGGGTTGGGGGGTGGGGGGTGTGGGTGTGGGTGTGGGTGTGTGTGTGTGTGTGTGTGAATAAAGTCATAAATTAAGACAATAAAATATACACAGCTACAAGGGGCATACCCCAAGCCTTAACAACTATGCAGAGCAACAGAACAAAACAAAGCTAACCAAATCATTATTTCATTTCCTTGAATTGGAATAGCCCTTGTGTTTTGTGTCTAATCCAGCTCAATATTTTCACTCAATCCAATATGCCATTTATTCTGCATGTGTAGCATGCATGCATAAGAGCCTAATTCTTTTGTTTGTTTCATAGATCTCTAGGGAAAACTATGAATAAATGATGATGACCCAGAAGTTAAGCCTGTCCGAATCCAAACATGGGCTAGGACACAAAATTCAAAGGGATTGATAATCCCGGCATGAACTGTCATGATCTGAACCCGCCCTCATGGGATTAAGGTCATAACCGGCCAGTAATCAAGAGATTACCTATGGCCTCAAACCAAATAAAATATATTCTAACAGAGTTAAGGGGCCAAACGAAAGCAACTAAAAATTTTGTCTATAGAGTCGTGCTTACATGGCACATCATAACATTTCACATTTATTCGTTAATAACTCATGTCAAAAGGGAAAATAACCCAAGTTCTATACATACAGGATCATTCACGTCTAAGTCAGTCAAATCCAAAGCTTATATACAAAAATGATCCAATGTTTCGCCAATATAGCAAAATTATAGCAAAAGGACAAAAAGAGGCGAAGACAAGTCTCGTGCGTAAGACGTTTGGGCTAACTCTTTAAAGCCTTGACTGTTTCTTACACACTTCACTGAGGCTGGGTTTGGACATCTCTTGGCTCACCTACAGACACATGAATGAGAGTGAGCGAAAGCCTAGTGAATAATATCAAGTTAAAAGAGATACATGAACGAACCTTGAAACAGTTACATCAAAGGCTTTGGGCCCAATTCATGTTTCAATCTAATGTATTGAACGACTAAGATCCAAACGTATCAAACGGCCTCGGGCCCAATTCACTCATATCCGACGGCCTTCGGCCCATTCATTCATGTACAACGGCCTTTGGCCTAATCGTCCGTATTCGACGGCCTTTGGCCCAATCATTCATGTCAAACGGCCTTTGGCCCAATCATTCATATCAAACGGTGTCTGACGGCCTTGGGCCCAATCATTCATATCAAATGGTGTCTGACGGTGTTTGGCCCAATCATATGGCATAACAAATATTTGTCCACAATTCTGTTTAACAAACTTATAAGACTGATATGGAAATAAGCAATTGGACAAATAACATGCTTCAAATATCTTTACTAAGATATTATTCATAGTGATCTGCCGGTGGATTTGCTTTCGTGCTTGACCCTACACATTTCATGAACATAATGGGTCACAAATGATTCAATCCGTTCTTAATTCATACATCCCTCTTAGGCTTCTTTCTTATTCGTTCAACTCATTTACAATGCTTAATATATGCCTAAGAGTACTTAGAAATGAAAGAGAACGGAAAATGAAACACAAAATATCTGTACAAATTTTCTGAAACAGGGCTCCCCGCTTGAGCGTGGATTTCGCCGCTCGAGCGGACCCCCATGGCCTGCAAAAGTACTGGTTGCCTTATTTTCACGCTTGAGCGTGAAGTCGGGCGCTCGAGTTGAAAGTCACACTACATGGCTCCCCGCTCAAGCGGACATCCATGTCTGCAAAAGTTCTGGGAACTAGCATTTCACGCTCGAGCGGCACTTTCCCCGCTCGAGCGGACATGCCAATTTCTGTGTTTTCCAGAATTGTTTTTCAAGTGCAACCTTGATATTCAAAGGTCCAACATTCATGTTTTTGGTCCAAAAACGTGGAAACACAATATATAGCATAAGGATGTAAGCAATATGAGGCCAATTATTCAAAATCTATAATCATACTCTCAAATTAATCAACATTTCTCTTGTATGGTTGAAACCCATGCATTCAAACTTCATATAACCTTCATATCTCCATTAATCAAACATTCATGTCAATTTTGACTCCAATTCTAGTACAAATCAGTGTGTTTGGTTTGAGTTTTCTGGATTAAATTTTTTGAAAACTCAATTTTTTGGTTTTCGTATTCTTTTGTTTTTAGTGAATATTTTTAAAATTTTAAACATTTTTTTTTTACTTTTTTAGATACACCTTAGTTAGATGTATCTAAAAAATAAAAAATTTGTGAAAAAATATTTTAAAAAATTAATAAATACATAGAAATATAAAAAATGTACTGAATTCTTGTATTTTTTTTTTGTATTTTTAGTATTTAGTGAATTTTTAAAAGATTTTTTTTACAATTTTTTTACTTTTTAGGTGTATTTATGTTAGGTGTGTCTAAAAAGTAAAAAAATTACTTAAAATATTAAAAAAATTCAGTAAAAACAAAAAAACACGAAAAATAAGAAAGTAGAATTTTATGAAAAGTGTTTTCTGAAAAATGAAAACAAGCAAGCTGAATGGCACTTCTAATCATGAAACTCATGCAGATTATGCATGCATGAGAGATTTGGTGCCCAATTCTCCTTGTTTAACATGATTCATGCTCAAATATGCAAATTTGTAGCAATTCTTTGCATGCATGTACATAAAAGATTCCAATCCTTCAATTTCATCTCAATTTATGTTCTTGATCACCCAACTAGCTTGAATACACAAATTTACAAACTTGTACTCATGAATTCATACTCAAGTGCTTACCTAGAAGCTCTAATCACTCAAGTTATGGTTAATTCTTGAATTGATCTCCAAGATCTTCAAGCTTCTTGACTAATTCTTCAACTTGAGCTCCCTCTCTCTCTCTCTAACCGGCACACACACTCTCTCTCTAGAGTGATTTTCAGCCAAAATGAATTCAAGAGAGGGGATTGAGTGTAATGAGGCCCTTTATATAAGCTTTCCTAATCAAATTTGATTAGGCGAAATAATGGAGCTTAAATTAATCGTTCTGAATCTAATTATTTTGATCCGAATAAGTTTTCAATTAAATTTCACCGTAGGTTCTAAAAATTGCGCTAATCACAATGACATAATCAATTTCGGGTTCTGTGGCCGGTAAGGCCTTCAATTTAAATTTTAAAGCAGATAATCAAACAGATTTTCCTGCGGTGAACAGATAGAAATTCAAAACCACATATATTCATATAAATGGCACTCAAAATCATATCAAACACATAATCATAATCATAATTAAGATTAATTAGCATAATTCTGACTAGGGTTATCACACGAACAGTCCTAGGAATGGTAATCCCATCTAATTCAGTCCATCCAAACAAACATAGGCTAATTGTGTTGATGAGCCCCAGTCCTGTAGTTACCAAAGTGGGTGTCCTAAAGTGAAAATTCATGTCTTCCATCAATGCTTTACTAGACGTATATATTGTAATGGTACTCTTCCCCTTCTCCTTCCCCTTCATTTATCTTGTCTGAGCATGTGTCTTCATTCATTTATCAAGAAGGAAGGCATGCTGTTTGTAAGCCAGAGGAGACATTTTCTTTGTTTGTTAGCCATGCTACATGGACTCGGGTATGGGTATCGAGTATAGCTACATCTCCAAGCGTTATACCATCCTAAACCTAAATTTTAAGATATTGGGATGTGTATTCAAAAGTTGGATATGGGTATAGGACATCGTTGGGATTTATACATCCTACCAACGCGAGAAGAAGCACACCCACACATACACCAAAGAGAAAAATAATCACAGATTTACATGGTTTAGCCCAAATTGCCTACATGCACAGGAGAGAGTTTCTACCATGAATAAAATAGATAATACACGTGAGATGACCAAAACACTCAAAACTCACACCACTACTTGAACTCCATGCTCAAGGTTAGTTGAGCCTTTGCTCATCCCCGTTGCCCTCGGTATTTTGTCTCTCACCCCTTACATGTCTATTTTTTCCCTCACCACTCTCTCAGTCTCTCACAAAAACCCTAGAGTCCACATGACTATTTATAATAGTTCACCCACGAGAATCTTAGTTTCATCCAATTAGGTAATCAAATCCTATACATATTAGGTTTTTTAGTAGATTCCGGACTCTACTATCTTAACCCAAATAATAATTGTATAAGACCCACCTCTATCACATGGGTTGATTAATCCTAACAACCACCCCTTCATTTATGTGGGGTAAGTGTTATATGCACCTTTCAACCTAATTATCCTGATTTGTGTGATACACTCCACCTTCTACTAGAAGATGTTGCACCCCCTTAAACTGAGTGTCTACATTATTTGCACCTCACACAATAGTGCTCAAACGTGTCCTTCATGGCTTCCCTTATCCTCATGCTCGAGCCCATGAGATCTGCCGCACCTGTCTGAGATGTCTCCATTGCCATGAACCAAAATCTTCATAGAAAGAGACCAAACTTTCAACCCAACTTCCTTTGGTGTACACCCTTTCGTTGCGAAATTGTCTCAAGTTCTATGCCTGAAGCTTCCTTCTTGTGAACTATTTGCAACCCCGTTGTCTTCCTCTTGGTGGCCACCAAATATCCTTGCAATTGTTGTTTGCCATTGTTCACCCACGACTCGTACTACTCGCCTGACGCTTGACAGAAGCTTCCTTCTTGTCACAATATACTCTACGAGCTTGTACAAGTAGCCAATCATGATGTCCAATTAGAAAACACCATCTAATTGACCTCACAATGACTGTACTTCCTTGTTGATTGAATTAGATTACTCCTAGATCATCCTTGATCACCCGCAGTCAAACCTGATCACCTAGATCACCGCCAAATCTATCCAATCTATCCAATTCATTTAAACCGTTCAGAATTTGTAAAATCTGAACCCACTAGTAAATATGTAGTGCCTGAAAACCTTAGACACCATCCTCACCTTGAATTTTTCTATCAAACATACTAATCTAGCAGAAAAATTATGCACCGTTGATTCTAAACAAGTGTCTCATTGGATCACAACCCATTGAAATCCAAAACCATGATCCTGTTACCTTCATATTGTATCTACTTCCATGCAAATAGAAAACTAATGAGCCAAGGCTTTGCATTGCTTTATCCTAAGGTATTGTGATTGTTTATTTGTTTCGTTGAAACATCACTACAATTTCACCATTCTTTTTTTTTATAATCTCTATACCATGAACTCCATTGCTCCGATCATGCCCTTGTCAACCGCATCGAGGATCGACTACCTTAAGCTCTGATACCAGTTGTTGGGATTTATACATCCCACGCCACCAACGCGAACGGAAGCACACCTATACATACACCAAAGAGAAATAATCACACGGAGATTTATGTGGTTCATTCCAAATTGTCTACCACTGGAGAGAGTTTCCACTATGAATAAAATAGATAATATATGTGAGATGGCTAAAACACTCAAAACTCACTCTACTACCCGAAATCCATGCTCAAGGGTAGTTGAGCCTTTACTCACCCCAGTGCCTTTGGTATTTTTTCTCTCATCCCTCATATCTCTATTTTTTCCCTTACCACTCTCTCAATATCTCTCACAAAAACCCTATAGTCCACACGACTTTATAATAGTCTATCTGTGAGAATCCTAGTTCCATATAATTAGGTAACCAAATTCTATACATATTAGGTTTTCCAGTAGATTCTGGACTACTATTCTAACCCAAAAACCTAATAATTGTATGGGACCCAACTTTATTACATTGATTGACTAATCCTAACAGACATGCCCTGAATACTTGAATATATTAGCTATTGTATAATATTCATAGATAAGATAATATAAATAATTTAGAAATGTTCTTGAAATTAAATGGGAATTAGAAAAAAATATGAAATTCTATTACCTATCCATGTGAGGGAAGAAATATTTCTTTGCTAGCAAATGTTAGCAATTATTTCTTTGAACAGTATACAAGTTAAGAGGATCCAAGTATTGGAATTTGGTACAGGTCGTAGACACATGTCACAACCTTACCCTTGTCGTATTCGTGGACAAGGGTCTTGTGGGGGAATTAGAAAAGTTCATGTAATATTGTTGGTTAATATATGACACATATAAATACTACATGGTTTATTTATTTTTGATATTTATTTTTGATTCATGCAACACGGTTTATAGTTATACAAGAAACGTTAATGATGCCAAGTTTTCTAGGCAAGTTTGCATTCCATTTATGGTGTGCTTTTCCTGGTTAACTCCTTGGAAAAAGAACATCGAATATGCATGTCATTTGAGATCTAGAATTGAGAATCATTCGACTCAACAGCATTGAAAGTGATGTGGGAGCACTTTTAGCATGCACATGTATCTTTAGAGGAATTGATGATTATGATGTTATATATGTAGTTTCGAGAAGCTACAAAGGAGAAGGATGACACTGCATTGCTCAAGCTCATGTCGAACTATGGTATGCAAAATTGTAAATAGTGACTTGGCATTTTGATTGAATTGTGTTTTATTTTATGTTTTTTTGTTGGCTGATTGTGTTTATGACGTGATAAGAATTGACTTGATGTTTTATTCATGGCAGGTGAAGAAGTGGTCACAGCTCTTGGGAGTGAAGTTGATAGGCTAGAAAACAAAATCCAGGAAATTGTCCCCGGTATTCGCCATGTTGACATTGAGGCCCACAATCCTATTGGCCCATCCCCATGATCCCCCCGCGTTTGTACATGTATGCAGTAATTTTTACCACTATTTTTTTACTGATCCATTATTATTATATATGATTAAACATTCAGCAAGAAATATCATACGAAAGGCTTCTTCTGAGTACAAAAGATGAAGCCATTCTACTACACTGATGTAATTTGTAAATGTTAATAGTGAGATTTCTTTGGTTTGAGCCAAGGCAGGCAGGCAGGAGTGAGAAGCACGGGTGAGCTAAATGTGCACCTAATTTCTCTTTCGGTTTTGAATATTGTAGTTTTAAGTAAATAAATCAACATTCCTTGGGTGAGTTTTGGTTTGATCCTTGCTGACGCTGGACTATTCTTTGTCAGTTGGTTTGTGAAGGAGTTAGATTATATCTCAGAAGAAATTGAATCGCAATTTAATTTGGAAATTTCATGGAGATTTCGGGTTAACGAATATATTGGAAGTGGCTTTTGAACTTAATTGAGCCTCCTCGAGCAAGTAAACAAAGTCGAAGCCACCTTTAGATGGGAAAGGGAAAAAAAAAAAAGAATAATGCTTGGGACCCCTTTTTGGGGGTCACCCCTTCACCCCTTTGCCACGTGGCGAGTGGTGATTGGAGGAGTAGGAAAAAAAAGAAAAAGAAAAAGAAAATGTAACCAATGAGAGAGAGAGGGGGTCAAAGGGAGTGGGGGAAAAAGGAGGGATGAATCACTGTTGAAAAAAAAAATCTCCTACCTTTTTCGGAATCCATTTCTAAAAACAAAGATCGCAAAATAATAACCCATAAAATGCTGAACACGCTAGACATGAAGGGTTACCCTCTTCTTGCATTCTATTTTCTTTGTCAGATCCTAAGGAATTTTTTCAAGGTTTTGTTTGATTAGAAAGAAAATTTAGTAGAAAATGAAAGTAAAAGAAAACAAATAGAAAAATAAATATATTTTCTTACAAATATTTGATTAAAATGAAAATTTTAAAAGAAAAAGAAAAATTTAAAAGTTCAGTAATAATTAATTCATGCATTTAATTTTTCTTTTGTTTTCTTATATTTTTATAAAAAAAATTAAAAATTAGTTACGGTGCTAATATGAGTTGTATAAGAAAATTAGTTTTCTTCTATTTTTCACTCCTTTCAAGTTAAACAAATTCATAGAAGTTATTATTATTTTTTTTTCCTGCTTTTCGTCATATTCTACCTTTCCATTCTAAACAAGCAGAGCCTAATGGTTCATTATGTAGATTTTCGTTTGGTTCAAATTTTCATTGTGCTATGGCACGGTAGCGCTTTACACTCTTATCTTTTAAAACAGTCATATATTTATCATATGATTTTGGATTAAAATGCAACTTTGGCACAGTTAATGTTAACAATAAAAAGACAATTATACCCTTTGTCTTTTTTTTTTTTTTTGGGTAAGTAAATAAATAAATTTACCTCCATGATTAAGAAAAAAAATTAAAAACATAACACAAAAATAATTTTTAATTTTAATTAATTTATGATTTAATTTGTTAAATATATATGTACATGTTTAATTTAAAATTTTATTAAATAATAAATTGAGTTAAAAATTAAAAATGAGATTAAAATGCTTTTATGATTTAATTTGTTATATATATATATGTATTATGTATATTTTTAATTTAAAATGTTATTAAATAAGATAATTTTATGGTAATAAATTAGAGGGCTTAGTTTAATTAATGATTTAATTTGTTGTGTGTATATATATATATAAATATATGTAGGTATGTTTATGTTTATTTTAAAATTTTATTAAATAAAAATTTGGGTTAAAAATTAAAATTAAGATTAAAGTAGTTGACGATTAATTTTTATAATAATAAATTAAGGTATTTAATAAGGGCAAACTTCACTTTACCCCCCTATGATTTAGGCCATGTGCAGATTAGCCCCATGACTTTCAAATATTACCATATAACCCCCTTGTGTTTAATGGAGTAATGTGCACCGTTAACACCGTTAATGGCAGACATTGAAAGACCAATTTGCCCTTGTATATATATATATATATCTAAGCTTGCTTACCATTTTTACTTCCAACAGTCGTGCATTTGAGAAGAGAAAAATGAAGAGAACTAGGGTTGTTCGATTGAAAGATTCAACAAATTAGTGTTGTTCAATTGAACAAATTAGGGTTTCAATCGAACGAAATAGTGTATAAATTTGAGAAAGTAGGGTTTCGATTGTTCGATTGTCACTGATTTAGAGATTTACGAAGCAAACAAGGCCCAAAAGTTCACAAAGAATAAGTTGTAAGGTATTTTTTCGATCATTGCTTTTTATTTTGTATTTCATTTGGTTCGATTTGCTGATATATATACATATATAAAATATTAGTTGATGTACTTTTTGTTACTGTATACTGTGGTCCCGTATGTTTTGTATATTAGGGTTTGTGTGCCTCATTTTTTCGTACCATTAGTGGTTAACTTTTTGTCATGGACACTGTGTTCGATGCAGTTGTTCATATTCTGTTGCTATGGTGGTTTTGTATATATGAAGTTGTTCATATACTGTGGTCCCCTGTGGTTGTTTGTTTATTTGTAGTGAATGATGTCAGTGTATTACTTTGTTTGTTTATTGTCATTGTGTTTTGTGTGGGGTATGCACTGAAAAGGTGAAGTTTATCCCTAATCCTCAGTGTATTAATTTGTTTGTTTTCTTCTTCAATTAAATTTTAACTTTATGTCTAAAGAATAGGTTTTTTAATTCTATTACTTTATGCTTGTCATATACTATAGGCATTTGTATTGTATGACTTTATGCTTTTATATTCTTTTTCTGTTTTGTGTGATCTGTTTGAGGATTAGGGATTATTTATTATTTTAGTTTATGTTGGTTACATGCATGACTATATTTTTGTTTAGGGTTTAGGGTTGTGGTCCCAAAATGTATTGATAAAAGTCTTTTCTGCTTTAGGAGTGAATGCTGAAAATGTTAGACAAATTCATAACTGTTCAAATGCATCATGAGGGCCATTTTGTCTTTCATCCACATGTTGTTTATGAGGGTGGTAGGGTGAATGAAATAATTAACTGTGACCTTGACAAAATGTCCATGTTTGAGTTAAGAGACCTTTATTATGACCTGGTTGGTGGAAAAGTAGCAAACATAGATATGTACTATACATGGCCTAGTTATAGTTTAGATGTTGGGTTGAAAACAATTTACAGTGATGCTGATGTGATGAAAATGCTTGAAGCTTATAAGGGTTTGGATTATGTAGTAGTGTATGTAGAGAGAGGTGTAGATCCTATTATGATTTTGTCATCCAATGGTGAGTTGTTGTCAGATCCCAATGGTGCAGAATAGGGTGGTAATGCCATAGGTGGTGTGGTGACACAGAACAGGGTGGTAATGCCATATGTGGCGGTGACACAGACATTATTGATATAAACTGTGATGAAAATGCTTGAAGCTTATAAGGGTTTGGATTATGTAGTAGTGTATGTAGAGAGAGGTGTAGATCCTATTATGATTTTGTCATCCAATGGTGAGTTGTTGTCAAATCCCAATGGTACAGAATAGGGTGGTAATGCCATAGGTGGTGGTGACACAGAACAGGGTGGTAATGCCATATGTGGCGGTGACACAAACATTATTGATATAAACTTGTCTGATATTGACATCATAGTTGATGACATTGGGAATGACTTAGATGATAGTGTAGAGGTAGCTGAGGGTGAGGATGTGGGTAAGGAATGTAAGGGTAGTGAGAAATCAAATCAGAATCAAGCTAAGGAGAGTCAAATAGGAAGGGAGCATGAGGGTAATGATAGTGATGATTCTGAGGACTTGGACTATATAGTTAGGGAAGAATATAGTGATACTGAAACTTCTGAGGATAGTGCAGAGGAAAGTGATGACCAAAGTTGGTTGTATCTAGAAGGTCCAAATGATAACATTTTTGATGAAACCTCACACAGAAGAACTGAAGGACCACCACCTAAAGTCAATCTACCAGATGATGTTGGTTAGTATTTAGATGTTGATGATGATGACGAATTGATTAGTCTGAAAGGGTCATCAGATAAGGCAGATGATGCTGGATACCCAGAATACAAAGAAGGGATGATGAAGGATCCCAAACTTGTAGTTGGAATGAAATTTCCCAGTCCCCAAGTTTTCAGAGAGTATTTGAGGGAGTTTAATGTGGTGCATTGTGGTGCATGGTTATGATATAAGGTACATCGGAAATGAGAGTGCTAGGATCACTGCTGTTTGTAGGCATGGGTGTACTTGGAGGATGTATGCCTCTTTATTTGGGGGAACCACAACCTTTCAGATCAAAATTCTAGAGGGGAAACACACATGTGGGAGGCATTACAGTAATAAACAAGCCAACTCTAAGTATTTTGGGGAAGAAGTTTGTAGATGAGGTGGGAGATGACCCCTCCATTGACATAGTCTCTTTCAAGAAAAAAAAATTAGAAGAGAGATAATGGTGGATGCAAGTAGGTTTCAAATATATAGGGCAAAGAGAAAGGCAGGGGAGATAATTGCAGGGGATTTGGCAGAGCAATATCACATGATTAGGGATTATGCAGCTACAATTATTAGGAAAAATCCAACCTCACACATTTAAATAATAACTAATCTTGAAAAGACAGAGCCTACATTTGAAAGAATGTATTTCAGACTTGGTGCACAGAAAGATGGATTTCTAGCAGGGTGTAGACCAATAATAGGACTAGATGGTTGTCATTTGAAAGGGATTTTTGGAGGGCAGCTACTCAGTGTTATTGGGAGAGATGGAAATGACAACATGTATCCTATTACAGTGGGTTTGGTTGAGATACTGTCATGACCCGAATCCACCCCATGGATTAGAGTCATAACCGGCTAGTAATCATGAGATTACCTACGGTCTAAGTCAGAAATCAATCCGTATTTAATGATAGGGGCCAAATTGCAGAAGAAAATTTTTCGAAGATTGTCTGTTGAGCTGTGCATACATGGCTTAAACAAACATTCTTTCACATAAAACTCACACTATATGCGTATTCACATTAAGTATGTCATACATACATCTAGGACTATTCAAAACCGGTGTTAACAAAAATTAAGATTATACACCAGGTTGATCAAGGTTGGTCATGCATGACCTCAAAAGGGTCAAAAGAACAGAAAAGCAAAAAAATAAGGCCTCTTGCGTGAGGCGACTCTGGTTGATATCTCAAAACACGGTTTCTCATCGTTCACTGGGGCTGCGTTGTACATCTCGCTGTTCACCTACATACATAAATATAGACAGTGAGCTAATGCCCAGTGAATAATACCAGAGTAAAGAGGTTAATGAATGAGATTCGTTCATGAATAGGTCATACTTATAATTAAAACAGTTGAACTACTATTCCCATTCCTATCAGATTTATAGACCATAACGAGCAAAACGATCTTGGGTCCAACACATCATATTCATGTACAAAACGACCTTAGGTCCATCGCACACAAAACGACCTTGGGTCCATCTAAACAAAACGACCTCGGGTCCAATACTCATTCATAGACCAACTTCAAGTCTAATGGATCCATGTACCAATAACCATCGGTCCTTCATATCATAATACTAAATGACCTTGGGTCCAACATTCTCATATTCATAGCAATGCGCATATATTATGGTCACATCCATATTCATACTCAAAACGACCTTTGGTCCAATCAATTCTTTATTCAAAATGACTTTTGGTCCATTCAATTCTTTATTCAAAACGACCTTTGGTCCATTCATCAATCCTACAAAACGGCCTTCGGCCTAATTCATGCATCAGATGACTTTTAGTCCATCTTGTTAAACATTCCAAATAGCCTTAGGCCCAATCTGTGTCCTTATAAAATATACTAAACGACCTTAGGCCCATTTTCCATTTTCACAACATTCACTTTACAGATTCTTTCACGAAACGGGTGAATAGAATACTCATTCATAGTGCAAATTCATAAGTTTAGAAATTACCACGTAGGCAACATTTAGGAAATAATGCATATACAAAAATATCTTTACTAAGATATTACTCACTGTGTTCCTGTGCTTGATTCGCCCTTGCGTTTGACCCTACATAATTGATAACACATTGTGTCATAATACAATTCATTCCGTTCTTTAATTTGTTTAATGTTCTTAGGCTTCTTTCATGTCCTTTAATTCATTTAGGATGTCCAATGCATGCCTAAGAGTGTTTAGCAATGGAAGAGAATGGAAAACGAAACATAGAACAACTTTTTAAAATTTTTGAAACAAGGCTCTCCGCTCTAGCGCAGCTTTGGCCGCTCGAGCGGACCCTTTGGTCTGTAAAAGTACTGGTTGCCTCATTTTTGTGCTCGAGCGTGACTTTGGACGCTTGAGCTGGGAGTCAAAACACGTGACTGGGCGCTTAAGCGTAACTCCTCGTGCTCGAGTGGACATCAATATTTGCAAAACTTCTGAGAGATAACATTTTACGCCCAAGCGGCGCATTCCCCGCTCGAGCGGACTCGATGAATTCTGGAATTTTCAGCAAGCTATTTGAGCTTCGAATTTGCATTCAAATTGATGTAATTTACATGTTATGACCCATAATTCACTTGTATAGCTTTCAACATGATACAAATACTAAATTTTCAACATTATGAAGTTCAATTCTCATGAATCAATCACACGCATACTCAATTTATACGAAACTTATTTTCAATACATCAAATTCATGTAACCAAATCTCATACCTCTATGAATTGTGCTTGCATGTGGAACATAACTTCCATTCTCAACTTAATTGATGCAAAAGACGATCAAAGGCATGAATCTTAATCAAAATTCATCATGGATCATATGTTTCATGCTCAAATACACAAATTCATTGCAATCTTTTACATGTATGCTTATAATGACTTCAAATTCATCAAATTCAACTTAATTCTTGTTCTTGACTACCATTTAACCTTGAAGCCACAAAATTACAATTTATGCTCAATTACTCACCTAGGAACTTCAAGTCTTCCAATTATAGTCAATTCTAGAGAGCCTAGCCTTCAAAAGCTTGAGTTCTCTTGCAAATCTTCAAGAATGGCTTCTCCTTCTCTCTAAATTCGGTTCACCCTCTCTTTCTCTCTCTCTAGAGTGTAGAATCTGATTTGAGCTCAAAATATATGAGCTTAAGCACACTTAGCTCATTTATATAGGCTTTCCTTAATCATACTTAATTAAAACTAATCAATGGTGTTTAATTAATTCAATTTAAACTAATTAATTCTCTTCAAATCAGTTTTCAGTTAAATTTCACCGTAGGCTCTAAAAATTATGCTAATCACGATGGTACAATCAATTTTGGTTTTTGACGCCTCTACGACCCTCAATTCAAATTTTACAACAGAAAATCAAACTAATTTTCTTGCGGTAAATAGATAGAAATTCACAAACGCATATAAGCATATCATTAGCATTCAAAATCATGCCGAGTTCATAATTATAGGCATAATCAAGATTATTAGCATAACACGGAGTTGGGTTGTCATAGATAGAATGTAAAGCCTCTTGGTCCTGGTTTCCTGAGGAATTAATGAGTGATATTGGGAGTGTTGAGGAGATGTAGTGGACATTTATATCAGATAGACAGAAGGGGCTGGTTGAAACATTTGCAGAGTTATACCTACTGTAGATCACAGATACTGCCTGAGACATATGTCTAGTAACTTCAAGACAAAATACAGTGGTTGTGTGTTGAAATACCTGTTCTAGAAAGCTGCATCAACTGGAAATGTGCATGAATTCAATTATTGGATTAAAAAGATTGAAGAAGTTGATCCTAAGACTGGAAATAGGAAGACAACAATGGAATGGTTGAGGGAGACTAACCCTGATTTGTGGGCAAGGTCACATTTTTCTCCAAAGAGCAATTGTGACATCCTTGTGAACAATTTGAGTGAGTCATTCAATTCTTACATCCTAGAAGCTAGAGAGCTACCAATAATCTCCATGTTGGAATGGATCAAAAGGAAATTGATGCAAAAGGATTCAAGTTAAAAAGGCTGGAATGGAAAAATACAGTGGTGAGATTTATCCCAATATTCATGACAAACTTGAGAAGTTGAAGGTGAAATCAAGGAACTGCTTTGCAACCTGGTGTGGACAATTGGAATTTGAGGTTGATCATTTTCAGAGGAGGTACACAGTGGACCTAAGTACTAGGACATGCAGTTGTAAGAGATGGGATTTGTTTGGTTTGCCTTGTAGTTATGTCATCAGTGCCATTCAAATCAATCATGAGCATCCAGAAACCTATGTGCATGAGTATTACAACAAGTCTAGGTACTTGGATACTTATGCATTTATGATACACCCAGTTCCAGACATGTATGAGTATGAGGAAGTTGGCCGGAAATTGAATCCACCAGGAGCAAAGAAATTAGTAGGCAGACCAAAGAAGTTAACAAATAGACAGGCAGATGAGCCAAGAAATCCACACAAGGCATCAAGGAAGAACATCAATGTGACATGTGCTAAGTGTCTGTAGAAGGGGCACAATCAGAGGTCATGCAAAAAAAAACTGCATCCTAAGTCCAAAATGGTGAAGGTTAGTGTATACTTATGCATTCATTTATTGTACACATGTTGTTATTTGTTTGTTCTATACTTAATTTATTGTATACTTAATTTGTTTGTTGCAGCAGAGATGTACTAGTGGGCAATCATCTCAACCTACATCAACTCCTACTCTTGCTTCAACAACAAACATCCCATCAAATGAGGTAACCAACTTTTAATGTTGACTTGTAACTTCAAGTAGGAAACTAATAGTAGTTTGCCCAATTTGTTCCTAACGGGAAATTTTTTTGCCTCAAATGTCCAGTAACAGCCAAACTAGAAGAGGAGGCCAAGCAGCATCTCAGCCACCAATGAGTACTACTTCCATTGGACTGAAGAGGAGGAGTACTAGGTCATCTACTCAGGTAACTCACTTGTTTATATAACCAACTTTTTTATTTTGTAACTTTTCATTTTTTTAATTGAAAATGTTGTTACAGTCCCACAAAACTACCAACTTATGGTGAAAAGGCATCAAATGGTCTTGGCAAAGGACCTGAAATCATAGTTGGTGTGAGGGGTAGAGGACCAATTAATGCATCTACATCTGCAGTCAATGTTGGAAGAACTGGAGTGAATGCTAATGTCAGAGGGCATGCTGTTTCAATAACTTCTGTACTAGAGACAATCAAAGCAAGGAGATTGGACAAAGAACTGGCAACTGGGTCAAAGTAGACTATAGGATTACTTGTTATTATTTATGTTTTTGTAATGAAACAATACTGTGGGATGTGTTGTGTTTGTATTTAAGCTAAGGAAGAATAGACACACATTTAGAGTTATGGTTTTTGAGAATGGTTTTCAAATGCAGCATACTTCTGTAAATGGATTGGTATTGAATAGCATTGTCAGCATACTTTTGTAAATGGATTGGTATTGAATAGCATTGTCAATCTTAGTTTTTTTCTTTTTCTTTTTTGTTCCTTTGTCGATCTCAGTTTTTGTATTTAGAGTTATGGTTTTTGTTCCATTACTTCTGTAAATGGATTGGTATTTAGGCCTGTTGTTTTGCAAATCAACTCAGTAGGGTTACCATTGCTTCAAGTATGCAGTCAGTTTGTTTGTGTTGGAAATGTTGGTTGTATATTTTGCATTGGAATGCAGTAAAAAAAAAAGAAGTTAAGAATTTGTTGATTTTTTTCCAATTAAACTCAGCAGGGTTTGTGTTGGAATAATTTTCAATGCATTTTCATGTTGTAGTAAAAAAGAACATACAAAAATCACAAATTTCATAAACATAATTTCATTGCTTTCAAACATACGTCAAGTACATAAAACACCTTACAAATTCTTACAAATTCATTTTATACTGAACATTAACATGTTGCAAATGAAACACACAAGCAAAACCATCATAGTTGTCTTCATCATCATGGTCAGTGCCTCCATCTTCATCTCCAGCTTCATCAGTCTTTCATTAAATTGCATACATTCCTCAACTCTTGGCTTCTCATCATCAATCTTATCTCTTCCATAGATGGGAGCATATCCAACTGGGTTGCACCAAGCCTAGAAATCACAACGCCAAACCCATATTTTCACAAACATAGTACAACCTACCTTTTGAAGGCTTCTCGGACTCCACGATTCTAATGGCTGCTTTTCTCCCACAATGACATTTCTTGCTCATGAACCTTAACATTTGTCCTTCTCCACCTCCAATGCTTGAAGATGACATTTTTGCTAGGTAGACTAGCCTGCAACTCAACATACAAAGCAAGGAGGCCATATAAAAAGCAATCTTCTTGGGTAAGCTATTATGTTTAACCCTAGGGGCATTTTGGTCTTTTCATTATGAGGGAACATCATCAGTTCATGCCCACTTGCACCACACTTGCGTGCACTGCATAGCCGGTTAGAATACACAAAAAAGCTAATGGTGCACATTACTCCATCAACCACAGGGGGGTTATGTGGTGATATTCAAAAGTCAGGGGGGTAATTCGCACATGGCCTAAACCATAAGGAGTGAAGTGAAATTTGCCCTTAAGTTAATTTAATTATATATACATGGACACTCAATCCATAAATTCAATGTTGAATTTGCTTTATCGAAAGGTCCACTCTCTAAAATATTTCAGCAAACTACCCAGATATATATATATATATTGTTTCCAAACCAAACCTTAAGCATCTCGTTTCTCTCTCTTATCACTTGTCTCTCTCTCTCTCTATCTCACTCTCAAAAACACATCACTCTATCACTTCCTCCGTCGGCACCATCACCACATCCACAGATCAAAGCACCATATCCACTTTATCTATAGTTGCTATTGTTGCCATCGTAATTGTAACTACATTCGCTGCTACTGTGTCCACTCCGACCACTTTCCTTTTTACTGCTGTTAAACCCATACCCATCATCTCCTTTGTCTCTTCTGTAGCCATATCTCCTAAATTGGTCTTTCATTCGGTCCAATCATATTAGCGGCTTTGGTACAACCAACGTCACCTGATTCAATCACTCCGCTTCTGCCTCTCCCTCCATGGTCGTTGGCAAGCCTTTCACACTCAATGTTGAGCCAGAGAAAGTCTAGGTCGACTTTTCAGATCGACTGTGTTCGAAGCTTCAAATAGATCTGTGGTTTTTTTTTGAAAAATCTTGATCAATTTTTTTACAAACATTTTATCTAACTTCGGATCTGTGGAATGGAATCAATTTTTTAACAAACATTTTTTGAAGAGATTAATTATTGTTGTTGTTGTAATATATCTATATATCTCTCTATATGTTCTCTTCTTTGTTTTTATTTTTTTTATTACTGTTTGTTTAGTGTTAGATCAGATAGCTGAAGCACTATAATGTGTGTGTATCTCTGTATATTACTTGCATTCAAGATTGTATTGTATATTTGTGTAAATGAGAGAAAAAATATCAACAGATCATGGACATTTGATAGACATATGTGGGAGCCCGAAATGCGTTTGTCCTACATATATCTGCCAAATGTCCATGATCTGTTGATATTTTCCATCTCAATCTTGAATGCAGGTACAAATATACGTATATCTATCAAATGTCCATGATCTATTGATATTTTTCCTCTCATTTACACAAATATCTATATAATCAGAACGATTTTTGAAAATATATAAAATATAGCAGAGATACATTTTATTTTAACGGGTAAGATGAATCCTAAATTTATATTAATGGTTGAGATAAATGATAGTTCCTACCCAAACATTTCTCTCATAAGCTTTCCACCTACCCATGTCTCCCCACCTTTCCTCTATATCTCTTTCCTCTCTGTTCTCGCCCACGTCTCTTTCCCATTCCCTCTTTATCTCTCTCTCCTTTTCTATTCCTTTTCTTTCCTACCCTCCTTCTTCGCTCGCTCCGACGCTGCTTTCTAGTCCTTGACTCTCACTCGATTTCTGCCTCTCCCCCTTCTCCCCTTCTTTCTCTGTCAAGCTATGTCTGGTTTTGCTGCTCTCGATCTTAGCTTGCAAGGTAAGTCTTTTTCCTGCTTCAGTGTTGTGTTTTGGTATGTTGATTCAAATAGATTATTTTAGGGTTTTGGTAACTTCCACAGCTTTTGCGAACATGTTAAATAGAATTTTTTTACAGATCCTTTTTGAAATTTCAGGGTTTTGGTAACTTCGATAGTTTTTGTGAACAGTTTAAATTAAAGGCATCGCAGTTTGATTTGGTGCGATTTGTAATGGAAAATTTTGATTTTGATTTCTTGTGTTTTGGTATGTTGATTCAAATAGGTTATTTTAGCGTTTTCGTAACTCCCACAGCTTCTGTGAACAGGTTAAATTGAATTCTTTTGACAGATCCTTTCTGAAAAGTATAATTAACTTTGTGGTTTTCAGCATTGTTTGGTGGTTGCAATTCGATTAAAGACATCACAGTTTGATTTGGCGGTTGCAATTGTGACTTTGATTTTAAGTGGTCTTTTGATTTTAGTTTCTATGTTGCCTAATGCCTAATTAGAACTATGACAGGAATACAATTCGATTAAAGGCATCGCAGTTTGAATTGTTTATTTTGATTTTAGTACTGGTGATTATTGGGTTGAAATTAAAAACCTAGACATTTGATTAAATAGATTGGGGTAAATAGTAGGCTGCTTATGTTTTTGATTAAATAGAATGATCATTTTTTTTTGTTCTATCACAGGTTTCTAATTTGACAAATCCTTTCTAAAGAGTAGAATAACATTTGTGGTTCATGGTTTTTTAGCATTGTTTGGTGGTTGCCTAATTAGAACGATGGCATAAATTGCAAAGATATTGTGAAATTGCAATTCGATTAAAGCCATTGCAGTTTATTCCTTAGCTTTTCGGTATGATGATGTTCTAATTAGGAGCCTAGTTATATTTTTGAGTTTGTTTCATGGTGGGTCTCACCAAAGCTTAACAATGGTTGTTTGCCTATGCCATTTTCTTGGTATAGAAACAGGGATTTTAAAAACAAAATTAAAAATCTAGATGTTTGGGGTAAATAGTAAGCTGGTTTTGTTTTTGATTAAATATAATGATCATTTTTTTTTTGGTTCTGTCACAGGTTTCTAATTTGACTGATCCTTTCTGAAGAGTAGAATAAAATTTGTATCCTAAAGGCTGATTTCAAGGTATTTATTTATTTTAATGTGGAGGGCTTTGATTTACTTTTACAGAGCAATTGAAGGTATTTTTGTAATGTGTCTATACATATGTGTGTGAAGTCATCTGGGTTTGATTGATTTATGTTATGATGATTGAATTTATAAAAATTGTTCTATTTGAATGAAGATTGTGGTGCTTTTGCTTCAGTATGCTTTTTGGGTATTTATTGAAATGAGCTGAATCTGTGACTGATTGTTTGTTTTTCAAAGTTTTTTTTTTTATTTTATATTATGTTGTTAATTGCTGATGAACTTTATTAATTTTGTTGGGAGGGAAAAGCTTCCCATTGTACCCCAAATGTTTGGTAGCTTTCTTTGCAGCATCTTCATTCAATGGTTGTTGTGAACTTTCAATGGTATTTTCCATTGTTTGTTCAATTCTTTGTTTGTTCAATTGTAATTATCAGAAAACTGGTTTGTTTATGATATAATGATAGAATGCTTGCAACATCTAGCTTAGACATTTTTCTATTTCTTTTCTTTTTTTTCATTACCAAGATGAGTTGAATGCCTACACATTTTAATTGTACCAACAGTATAAGAATAGTTGTATCAGGCCTCATTTTCATGAATGCTCAAACAGAATGAGTTCCCAAAGAGTGAACCGCCATCTTCTTAAGCAAGATTGTGTTTGGCTTTTAGTTCTCAAATTCATTAAAGTCATGCCATCATAACTGCATCTTTGTAACTTAAGGAATGTTTTCTCATCTGTTTTTTACTTCTTTTTTTCTTTCATCTGTTTTTTTGGGGTTCAACTTTGCCTTTTTGTTATTGTTTTATTGGGTGTTTTTAGATTTTACATTGTGTTCTCTCCTTTTTTATTGGGTTTGGTCCCAAAATTGTTTACTGTGAGGGAAAGGTAGGAATCTTTTTTATTGGCTCATCACTTCATGAATGCTCAAACAAAATGAGTTCCCAACGGGTGAACCACCATTTTCAAATTTATGAATGCTCAAATTTGTTGTTTTCTCACTCAAGGAATGTTCAAGGAAAGTTTCAAGTAAAATTCTTCAATATTTTGAAATAGACCACAGCTGAGCTGTGGCCTATATTCTTGCTACTTGAAGACAACCTTGAGTATTTGAAACATAAACTTGACACGCAGACCTGGCCATAGAGCAAGGAGGAATCAGATGGAAAATGAACATGTTCACTTGACAGTGAGGAAATCTATAGCAGGTCTGCATTTGAATAGGAGAAATATGGGATTTGTTGTGCTACACCAGATGTAAATTATAGTATTTTTGGTACATGTATGGTGGTGAAAATCCATTGAAAAAGGAGATTGTAAACTTAGAGACCAGGGAAAGCTTCGAGTAACTCACT